GAAATGTCTCCTCTCCGTTCAACGCGGAACAGAGAATGCTGTCGACATCCGCTATTCCCGAAGGCGATCCCGTGAAGGAAGAACCCCTTCCGCAATCGATGGAAGAGAGTTCCTCTCCCCGCTCAAAGGGGGAAAAGACCCTCTCTTCATCGATTGCGGAAGGAGAACGCCCTTCACACTTCTTCATCTTCTTGGGCCGCAGCCAACGCCAAAACCGCCAGCTCTTCATTCTGTAAAGAAACAAAAAAATATATATATATTAATGGGATGCGGATATACTTAACGCAGAAAAAGCTCAAGATTATACTCACGTCAGATCGGAATTCGTGTAACTCGCGTTAGATCCTACCGGAAATTGCTAGAAGGTTCCAACTGCATTTGCAGTAGCGACGACCGACCCGGAACGAATAAACTCTCTTGCGTGTAATTTGTATTTATTTGTACGACAGAAAAGTAAAGACAAGACAGAAAAGTAGCCATGCGAAAAGGCACTCGTACTCGATCTCGAGCCCAAGTCGTAACGAGTGTTTCGTTCTAGAGCAATTTACCGTAACGTGCGTCACCTAACCGCAACGATGGCATTTAAGAGAGTTTCGTGCGAAGAAATTCCGTACGAGAGTCGACGAAAACACAAGACGTGCCCGCAGCCGGGACACGAACGTTTAAGTGGCACAAAGCATTTGCAAAGGGTTACGTAAGTGTGGAAGATGGACTGCTGTCGGAAAAGACCGCGTTGTGGAAAGAGACAAACAGCTTAAGGAAAAGAATTCTTTGTGTCCAGCCTGTATAGATAACTGTTAAGTGTATTAGATTGTGTTTTAAGTCGCACAGCTGCAGATAATTTAATTCTCGCAAAGTAAGCCATTGAAAAGCGTTGTAACTAATACGTAGATTCAATGGAGAAGTCGGAGGTAAAAGGGCGAAATTTTTGACGTCTCGGATGTGTCGAAGGAACGTGTCATGCTTCAGAATGCGGTATCTGTGTATCCTTCGGTCCATCCGGTTTCGAGTGTATATTTTAGTTAAAATTACGATACGCAATTCGTATTTAGAGTTAGTATTAAATAAGTTTTAATCGAATTTCTGTAAATAAGATATTTGCAAATAATCCTTATTCTTTAACCGTGTTTATAAAATATAATCTAAATTAATTAATTACGAAAATAAACCAATGAACAAATACTTAATCCTTTGCCTCCGTCGTTTTCGGCGCTTCGGTCGCTTTCCAATGTGGCGGCTCGTTTAAAAGTCAAAAGAGGTGCGTTTCGGATGGTAATTCAAACGAAAAACACAAGCGACGGCAGATTTAAACGCAAATATGTAAAGTCCGAGTCGGCCGATGTCGTCTCCGAAAGTTGGACTAAACGAAACGAAAATAAAATCTTACTGCTAGCTAAATTCTAATTAAAGTCTTACTTGGTGTAATGTCGGCGTCCACAAGTCTTCTTAAAACCACGTAAAAAAGGCAAAAAAAAACACTGAAAAAAGTAAAAAAAACACAGCAGAAACAAGAGCAAAGAGCGCACACGTCCGTCCGGCAAGCGAAAAACGTGCAAAGTGACGCAAAATCGTGTTGCAACAATACGCGTTTCCATAGAAACGGCAATTGTTGCGAGATTAGAAAGCTCGCAACGAATTCGAATGCGGTTGACGTCACTAGATTCTTTTTGAATTTTAAGGCTAAATATCTGCATTTTTCACGTTTCTATCCCCAGAGTGACGACGGATTGGGGTCGAGAGACTCCCTACCACCCTCCGCCTTCGGTTTCCATTCTCCACTAGGGGTTAGAAGCGAGATTTTCTATAATCGAACGTCATCTTTACCTCGCCACCCCCAAAACTAGAAGAAATCCTCCCTCTCGTTCGTCCGGTATTTTCCGACGAAGTTTCCGATTGACCGACAGCGCAATTTTTACTGAATTTCGTAATATTTCGTTTATCCGACGCCATTTTAAAAGCGCTTACCTGAGGTCATCGATTATATTAAATATGCGTAGTTTATAGTTCAGTTACGTAAACGTTAATTAGTGTTATTAAATAAGCAAATTTTATGAATTCACCTGACCGATAGAAAATATCGTATATGTATTTTACACGAAACAATGAAATATAGATCTTTCTATATTCAAACTGAGAAAAAGATCGCTCGTTTCAAGAAATGTAATTGTTTTTATTTTTAAAAATTTATCAATAGCAACGAGATGCGTAACTTTCTCGGCTGTTGTGAGAAAGTTATAATGTTTTCAAATTATAAATTTGCCATTTATAATTTGAAAACATAAGTTATATTAATCATTTTGAAGGTTAAGGTTACCGCGTCAATAGAAAAGAGAAGAAATGGTGATTTTTATAAAGAAAACAAAAAATTTGTATTTTGTCTATTGTTCATCTCTTATTTTGATGTCCAATTGACGGTGTCTCATATTTGTCGCTTGCTCTCGCTTACAGTTGACATGTATCTTTGCCTCCACCATACCTGAACAATTGCAACCTTTCTCAAATCTCTCTTCGGTGGCATTTATAGCATAAAAGCTTTTTTTAAATATATATATATTATTTAATTTGATGCCCGAATCGTATTTTTACACTTAACCGTTTACACAAACTAAGTCGAAAGAGCCTAAACCCTCTTTTAGTTAATATACAGATTAGTAGAAGAGAAAAGATAAAGCTTCTACTCTACCAAAAACTCTTAAAAATGTATCTTAAAAGAAAAAAAAAACCATGAAAAAACGCATGACGTAGACCTACCGATAATTTGCGGTAAAAAATAAAATAACTAAAATTTCAAAAGATGTTTATAAAATTATTACATTTTAGTAATTTTTAAAATAAACTTGATGTAAAAAATTAATCGTTAATAAAAATAAATAAATAAAATACGTGATTTAAAAAAAAAACTATACTTACGACAGTGGCGCCTCCTAATGTAATTCTTGGAAGAGAGATGGGAGGATTAAAACTATTTTATTTAAACGTCAATAGTTATGTTTGTTTACAGTTAAAATGATTAATTCAGAATAATTGTAATCATTATATATAAACATAAACATTCTGCTTTGATTATTTATATTCAGGTAATTATAAATATGAGTGTTATTCATTTGTTGAATTATTTATCATATGTTTTGAATGTAACAAGTTTGTTGTATAAAAAAAAAAATAAACCAAGATGATTCTTTTGATGCATAAAATTAAAAAATCTTTTATGCCTTATTGTCAAATTGTAAATATTATATTAATGTTAATGACATTTCATAACAAAAAATAGAGATGAAAATCAAATGATTTAATTAATATTTTCCTTTTTTATAATTTTTTGCAATAATTTAAATATTAATTAATAAGTAAGAGTACAATTATTTTCTATATAATTAAGATTTTAAAAATAGGTTATAAATCTTAATAATAAATCTAGACATAACTTGTAGATTATAGTTGGTTACATAAAAGTACTGTATTAATAGCTGATAAGGTTGTGAAATTAAAAATGTCAATTTATGTACTCTGCCCTGTAAAAATTTATAGGGCTATTCTTTTTAAATGTCGTCATAGGTTTGGCTAAGTCTGGTGTGTGACAAATGGCTTGTGGATGATAGCCAAGTAGTTAAGGTGTCCGTCTACTACTCTTGGGATCTAGAAACAAATCCGGATGGGTCAAAGAATCCTGGGAATTTTTTGGGGGCTGGTCCATCCTGGATGCGTTGGGCCTTGTCTCTCGTTGTCTAGTTGCCCATTGTGGGTTGGTTGAACCTGTAATGGGCATGATTAAAAATCTTTCTTACTGCTTACGGGGCAGAAAGAGTAGAAACAATCTGTGGGTTATATGCTTGTTTCTTTGTTAAGTTATGGCAACGCAACACTTGATCACCCAAGTGTTGCATTGCCATACCTTCTGGGCAGGGCAGGATTAACCCACTTTGGGGCCCTAGACATTTTCTTCTTACTGGGCCCCCTCCCTCTCCCACAAGAAATAGAGCACACAAAAAATATAAAACAATAAATAAAACAAAACTAAATAATGTGAAAAACTAAAACAAATCTTAAATTTTTATTAATAAAAAATATTTAATATACAACAATATATTTTAGTTTTTCTAGAAAAGTTTGCACAGTTTGTTTATAAATTTAAAAAAATTGAAATTTATTGTATTAAATGTCTAACAAAAATAGTTATACAATAACAATATTACAATTAATATTTTAAGCTAATATTGTTATTGTATAACAATACTACCTTAAAATATTGGCAGCTTGGCCACTGGTGGGCACGGGCTATATGTTGCTTGTTACATATTTCAGTTTGGTACATTGTCTGATTTTGCTAAGATATTTATATTAATAAGCCTACCCAAATATTCATAAATTCTCTAGCATTATTTTAATTTAAATCCATATAATGTATTTGAGTCTAATACAGTTTTGTATTTTTGGGTTTGCTCATAAATATTTGTTCAAGATTTATATGAATATATTCTAACTGTTGCCTGTTTTAAAACAGTAACTTATTGCAGTCCAAGACAACATTTAGGTTGTGCATTCCTGAGCTAGATGATAAGAAATGGGGCTTAAGATATTTGGGTTAATCCATTCTTGAAAATTTCTGTTCTGATCTTAAATCCACATCTTCCATTTCAGGCTCAAGTGCACCACAGAGTACAGGTTTCACAACCTGTACTCTGTGGTGCACTTGAGATTTAATCTTGGGGGATTGAGTTGAACGGCAAAAAAACTTATTAATGTGAACTCGATAAAAATTTTCACCTTATGTAACCTCTAATTCATAAGTAATATAGAAATAGAACATACAGCAAAATATAATATATATATATATATATATATATTTTGCTGTATGTTCTATTTCTGTATGTAATTTTCCAAAAATATTTTCCTAATTGAAATTCATTTTATATATATAATGAATTTCAATTAGGAAAATATTTTTGGAAAATTTACCAGTGTTTCTTTCTTTTCCTTTAACTTCGGGGGTGCCAGAGCTTCTTGATTCACCACCCTAGGTGTGCCACTCTCTGTACTATTTAAACCATCTAATCATTTAATAACCATCATATGCTGATAGTTTTATTTAAGAATAGTTTTGTGGTCTTTGTAATTTGAAAAACACTATCATCTGTAAAGACAAAATTGTATGATCAGTTTTGTTTGACTGAATTACTAAAAGATGAAATCAGTTACTATAAGCTTAATGTTACATGCTGTCAATAAGGGTATTTATGAGGAGGAGCTTTTCTTGCTTTTAGACAATTTGGGTTATATGAAAGCTATGAAATGTGAACTTATATGGACCAAATGAAATGAGAAAGAAGGGAACAACTGTGACTGAATGACATAACATAAAACAGCAAATTTCTGTATTTAATTCTAGTGAAGATAAGCTAATATCTTCACTAAATACAGAAATAGGATTGATGAATAGTTGGTATTCAGATAGGTATAAAAAATTTATTAATTAACGTTCACTTATTCTTGAATTTTGCTGTAACAGGTACAAGATATTTATATGCAAGATCCAATGCATTAATTATAAGTTCTGTTGTGGAAGTATAAAATATAAAATTTCAGATATAGCATAAGGCAACGAGAAATTATTTATTGTGACATTGTCACAATGCTGGGCTGCAATTTTTAATTATATTTTTAGTTTATTTAATTTAAAATATATGGTCTCCATCTCAAATTAGTAGTGGCTTGCCCCTGTACATCATATTTTTCCTTTAACAATGGAGTTGTTCTGGTCATCTATCTAACTCCTTTTGGCAGAAATAATTTTGACTTGAAATAACATGACTTCTGGTTTGCATAGGAAGTTCTTACATAGTTAATTCAGGTCTCCTGCCCCTGCAAAGGTTTTCCTACCTGGCCTTGTCTTTCATCTATATCACTCCATTCTCAAGATTAAGGAAAGATGGATGGATGGATAGATGGACAGATGACAGTAAGAATTTATAGGTTTAAACAATTTTTTTAAATTGCAGCCCAATAATTGCCAGATGTTTGGAAGAATGAGGTAGGAATTAGACATGAGTCATATATATAGGGATTGATCCATTGTTTCCAGGGTGAAGTGACAATTAGCTTGTTAAATTCATCACTGCTACAATCACTACTGAAGGTCTTTTAACAACACACACAGTGCAGTGCTGCAGTTATAAAGTGGTGGATCTTGATGCAGCTGTTGAAATATTTTGTGAATTATTTAATTTGAAACATTTTAAAAGTAATTCATTTTTGCAATGCAATGCTTTGTTTGGGAGGTAAAATTAATGATTTAAATTTAGTGAATGCAGCTTCTTAAGTAGATAATAAAACATTTTAAATATGCAAGTTCTGTCAAATTTGATTTTATTTTAATAATGAGTATTTTAAAAGAAATATTAGTAGAAACAGAACATTGATTTATGCTGATCAAAACCTTGTAACTTCACTGTCACATTGTATAAGAATTTAACTTTGCACATATTCACTATGCAAGTAATCATCTTGTTGCAGTGAAAAAAGCAACTGAAACAAGTGTAGAAGATTTAACCTTTAACCAGTAAGACCACTGCAAGGATCACTGCATTCAATGCTACAAGAAAATGAGTTTGACAATGCTCTCAACAGCATTAGCAGTGCTTAGTTTAACAACACTCAAAAGACAAAGGACTTGGTAATACAGTAGCATTAATACATTAAGCAAGATTATTTAAAGAATACTTGTGGCAAGAGTATTGAACCAGAGAATTATGATTATGATTGTTATAATAGTACAGATGAAATAGTATAATAATTTTTTCTCTACCATAATAGCTGAATAGTTAGCAAATTCACCAAAAGTGCCTGCAAAAAATGTAATAATATTGTCAAGACTTATGTTGATCCTTGGATCCCAGTATTTCACAAACGTCCTTACGTTCATCTCCTTGAACACCATAAACAATAAAAAAAAAAAACAAAATTTTGCTTTTAGAACACAGTCCTTCACTTCTCACTCAACCACTTCACTAGGCTCACAGAGTTCCCTGCACTCCTTCTCCTGGGATGAACAGGTCTGCTCCCATGTCCCTAGAGGACAGTTTGGGAGCAGACCTGGTATTCTGGTCACCATCTCTGGTCTCTTGTCTCTCACAAGTCGGTTGCTGATTGGCTAGTCATTTGGATTAGCCAATCAGCGACCAGCTTGTGAGAGACGAGAGATGGTGACCAGAATACAGCCTCTGTTTGTCCCTGTTTAACTGTTCATCCAAACAGTTCAACTGAGGAAACAATAATTAATTCTAAAGGCATAAGACACTGTGTTTTCTTGATTTTTAGATGTACCATGAATTTTGGAATCAAATTTGCAATTTTTTTTATGGAGAAAAAATTTTTAAATAATCAATTTTATTAAGTGAGAACAAAATAAGTTAAGTAATACAAATATAATGAAACAAATAATGTACAGAAGTTCTGTTGTCACACACAAAAACTTTTCTTTTAACGCTGTATCATAATGTTGTCTTAAAGGCATTTTAAATGCTAGGAAAGAATTTAAATTAAGCACTTGTTACCGGCAAAATTTATTTGAACTAATGTGACTACTGAATAGTTTAGACAAAAATGTTTATCATAAGTATAACGTATCCTATCATCTGTTCACAATGATTCTGATTGTTGTTTTGGATTGCAAATATAAGATGCATCTCTATTTCTGACAAACAAGAAAAAATGTACATCTTTATTCATTTTGTATATTAAATGTAGATATTGCTAAATGAGGAAAATACTGTAATTTAAGTTTAGATATTGATGTATGAGGAAAATATTTAAATTTAGAATTTACTGTATGAGGAAAATATAATAAATTTAATACATTCAACAATATCTAAATAAATTTAATTTAATTCATTGAGTTTCTTATTTATTGAAATGATGTTTGAATGCTGTGTATAAAAGTATTTATTTTTTGCAAGTATTAAAGTTATTTTTTCTTAATTTATTTTTATATAAGAATATTGTAGAGACTGTAAGGAAGAATATTGAAATTTTCTCAGTATTAAAAAAGTTATAATATAATGGTTTTATTCAAATAATTGCC